TATTATATAGAAATGTGTTATACAGTCTCTCGTTTTCTCTATCGCGCTTTGTTTTACTTTCTCTTTCTCTTTCTCTTTCTTTCGTATTTTTCATATCGACATTTCACTTTCTCTCTCGCTCACATTCTATCACTCATGTTCACATAGCTATTATATAAGACTATCGCGTAACTAACTAAAACGTAATATACATACGTATATGCGTAGATCGATCAACTATTTTTTAAATATTCTTTTTTTTTTTATTATTATTTTTCTTCTTCTTCTTCTTTTTTTTCTTATTTCCGAGTTTTGTAGTTTTAGTTAATCATTTCAATAGTCTTCTCATCGATACGAATACAACTACAGGTAAAAACGTTGCGCTAATCCGTTTTCCCTTTTTCCACGCTCGTATGTCCTTCTATAAAAAGCACAGGTATTTTTATTACATATTCCAGTTATTCATTCTTATTTTGCTTGTGTTCACAATGAAAATAGTTAATAGGTTAACAAGAAAAATCATTCCGTTCCCAGTGATTGCAATCGTTAGGCGAGCTTCGTATTCAAGAAGTTCAAAAATGTAAATTTTAATTTTGGTTTAATAATGATACAAATAAATCATTTTTAAATGGGGAATGGGGTGTTAACGTCAACGTTCGGAGTAATAAGATTTACAAAGAAATTGATTTATTTAGTTCTGAATTTAATCTCGTTTCTTTCTCTCTCTTATAAACAAAAGAAAAAAAAAATAAAAATAAAAAAGAAACATGGCGCAGAGATAGAAAAGGAAATGCATGTGCAAGGAGAGAAGAGAACAGCAACGCAACACGTAGCGCACACGTTAACGCAGACACCATTTAACGCGTTGGTACGCTTCTTATGGGAAGGTGGACGGTGAGCGACTTTTCAGACAATCGTAACACGCACACCCACCCCCCTCGTTTACCTTGAGTAGGAGTCTCCGACCTTGAAATTGTCTGCACTTATGTGCATCGGTCGTACATTATTTACGCCTAAACCTATCATTTATACCTTTATTTGGCATCGGGATACATTGCAACGATAAAACTTACGTTCTTTTTTCTTTTTTTTTCTTCTTCCTCCTTTTTTTCTTTATTCTTTAATATTTCTTTTCTTTTTCCTATAAGTAACGATTTCGTTAATAAAAAGGTAGGTAGGTAGGAAATCATTTAAGGGTGTTTCAATGTAAGGAACAAAGAGATTCTATAGTAAAAAAAATAAAATAAAAGAATAGACAAGTAGAAAAAGAGAGAGAGAAAGAAAAAGACAACAGCGGTGTGATCATCTTTCTCTCCTGAAAATAATAGAGAGAGATCATTATTTATATATAATAATTGGCAATAAAAATGGGCACGTGGATGTTTGATAAGTCAAGATCAAGCACGGCAAACAACGAAGTTCCTAACGTTAATCACTGTATTAATATAATAATAGCAGTAATAATAATAATAATAATAATAATTATTACAATAATGACAATTATAATAATAATAATAGTGTATTTTACAAGCAACCGAGTCAAGGTGTTAAATCATTATTAAAACTTCTCATCCTCGCGTTTCTTTCCCAATAAATGCTTACACAATATCTTTTGTATATAAAATGTACGAGAGATGATACGTGTATGATGTTCATACGTGTGTACGTACATATGTGTGTATACATATATATATATATATATGTATTAAATGCGTCACACATTTTACGCACTTTCAAGCTCGTTATATTTTATCGATTGGGGATGATCGCATTCGGATAAACGAGAGACTTTTGAATAAATTCGTGAGAATCTCGAAAATGCATATATGCAATACGAGTTGCACGTGTGTATACACTTATGTGATATTGGGTGTACGACGTTGTAACTCGTTGTGATGTAACTCAAGATGATATCTCAAAAAATTACGACGAAAGGAACTAGGTAAGTAAATAATCAAATTTATAAAGAAGAAGAAGAAGAAGTATTGGCAGTGGCGTGTAAAATTCAATCTTGACAAATTTGTCATCTCGCAAATGACCACACAAATAATGAATAACGTAAATATTATTTATTTTAAATGCTCGTCGAGAAGTATTATTCGTGCGAAACGTAACCGATCCACGGTTCGTAACAATCCCCATACCATTTGACGTTACTTTCGTATCCCTTGAGATCTTTTTAACAGGAGGGAAGGGATGGATAAACGCATTACCGACTAATTACTTATTTCTTTTTTGTTCACCTCCTCCTTCCCTACCCTACATTCACTTTTAGCTCGAAACGCGAATCACGAAAGATGAAAAGCGTAGCGCAATAATGCAACTTTTTTTTTTGGGGGGGGGGGGAAGAAAAAATACTCGAAAGGATCAACACGAGATGATATAATAATGTACCCCTCCTACACGAGTTTGTTTTTTTTTCATTTTACGAACACCACATTTTATAATAATACGTTATTATTTTTTTTTTTTAAATTTCTTTTCGTAACCACGACGAGGGGGAGGGGGAGGGGGTGGCAGATTTCTACTCTTTCTCACTTTACATGCGCGCGTACGTACTTTTTTTTAATTTTATATGCGGCTTTTTTTGTTATTTTTTTTTTTTTTTTTATAATCATAGCGTTACAGCGCGATATAACTAATAATATTTTTATGTATATATATGTACCTTTTTTATAGTTCTCTATACATACACGTTTTCTTTAGCAATATAAATGACAATGCCACTTAAATTCCATATCACATAACGTTATCCTGTTCGGTATCACTTCTCGACAACCGAATATCACTCAGTTTCTTTGATTGCCTCGTGAATAATCGCTGCTGTCATTGCTAACATCTTTACAAAATAAGTCTTTGAGTATGTGTATGTGTGTGTGCGTGCAATAGTCTCGACGATATTTTATCGGCATGATTTCTATTTATTATGTGCCCAGTAGGAATGTCAAAAAGCTCGCGTGTACATTTCGAATAGTTTTCCTTCATATTTAGAAAGATAGTTTTTTTTTCATTGCGAAGATAATTGTTTTATCAACAGATCTAATCTTTTCAATTGAGATTTCATTGAATTTTAATGGATGTGACGAGAAGGTTGAAATAATTTTCTTCTTATTTTTCTTTCATTTTTTCTGATACTTTTTACAAGAAGGAAAGTCATCAAGAAAAGATGTACGGAACACGCAGGTAACGTTTTTAAACCAATGCAATAATGAATTATCGTCGGTACTTATATTCAAAGTCTTTGAGAATGACGCTCGCTTTTATTATAATTGAAGTACACCACCCCACTTATGCTATTTCGTTAGACGGAAGCGTATACCACCAACGGTTAATACAAACGCAAGGATGAAATCTATTCAAGCTATGTGTAACGTATATGCTCGAGCACTTATAATACAGAAACATCCCGCTGTGAAAATATTTCGTTCATCGCTTTTACTTCGTGCAACGCATGCTTTTAACTTACGCATAATAAACATTGAATTTAGTTAGTTGAATTTTTTCGCTCAATCATGATTATAAATTAATTGTTCACTTTTTACGCGCAAAAATGATCGTTTAATTTAAAACAAAAAAAAAGCACCGAACGTGAGTATCTCGATGTGCTGAAAAAAAAAAAATAAAAACAAAAAAATACAAAGTATAAAAGAAAATTTTTCCCTCGCAAAAATAATAATCGAAATACAATAGATTACTAAACGTATGATGCAAATTTTCTTACATTTATACAAATAAATTATTCATGATAAAAACTCTCGACAATTTTATCACTAATACAATATAATTCGTTCTGCGCGTGTGTATATATATATATATATATATAATATATACAATTCGTTATGTACAATTATATATGCATTAGGTTGACCAATTAGTCTATATACGCAATTTTAACTACATTTCTTTCTTTATAATTAGAAAAAAAAGAAGAAAAAAAGAAAAGAAAAAACGGCACAGACTTCTCATTGGCCAATCAAATAATTCTTCGAAAGATATTCAAAGGAATTAGCTTTTACTCTTGTTTACCGATTATCTTCGATATTTAAATTAAAAAGGTCAACTGTCTCCGATCGATAAGTAGAACAATTGGGGAACGGAGTTGGGGTTGTGTCATATGAAAATCTAAGATTTTATTTCGATATTCGTCGCGCGGAGATTCATTCGAGAAGACACACACACAACGGGATGAAAATGATAGAATAGTATTGACAGAAATCTAATGGGGGAGAAGTAGTATTTTTCTCTTGACACAAATTTACCCAGTCAGATATATGATAATGATAGAAGGCAGAAAATTCATTGTACAATTTGCTCTACTATAGTCACAAAGTTAAAGAAACCCTTTTAATGAGTCTCTTGCGGATCGATTCATAGACGATGTTATATATATGCTGCTGCTAGACGCTTATACGAATGAGAACCCTTCGCATTCCCTGACTTTCCTGGCACAATAACCTCACAGTCAAGACAATGTAATAAATGTCGATACAAATGGGCTTTCGCACGATACCAATTCACCAAGTAGCAGCAGCAGCAGCAGTGCAACGCTTACATATGTATATGTATGTTGTATGCATACTGTTGTGTGTGTGTGTGTGTGTATGTGCCTATAAGGCCTTCCACTTTCATCGTAGCGAATAACAATCGTTACAAAAGATCCAGCAATGACAGCAGGAGAACAAATGTTCGGGGCGGTCGAACAAAAGAAAGCCGAGCACGAGATACGATATACAAAGTTAAAATTACAAAAAAAAAGAACAAAAATAAATTAAAAAAAAAAAAAGAGGGACAAAATAATCGTGTTACTTTCGTTTCTGGGGGGGGGGGATAAGAATTACGATTAGAATTCTATAATAGTTTTTATATACGACGAATATAAATCACGCGTATACTTTTATTAATATTCAATTTGTTTTGTTTACTTGTGCAATCGCTATAAAATGCGTTTTAATGTGAATATTTTTTGGGCGTTTTATTAAATATATAATTAAAATCAATTGTTATGAATAAAAATGCAACGATATTACGTTAAAGATAAAAGAAATGAGGAACGATCGTTGGGTTTGTGTATATTTTTAATAGTAAAAAAAATGAAATGGGTTTAAATAGGATCCAATGTAGGTCAATCTCTCTCGTAATACGCGAACTTACTTATTTCTCTAAAAAAACTCGCCTATAACGTAGGCGAGAAGATCACCCCCCATCGCATGGAGGGTGTTTGCGTCTATCAAAGGTTCGAAAAGGGATCGTTAACCTTCGACTCGTTCATCACATCGTGTCAACGTTACCGTATGAGCACGGTATTTAAGGGTTAACACGCATTTCGAATTTAACAACGAGCATGACTGCAGCGACAGTGGCATGCACGCGTAAGAGCCGACGTCCTCATATTTCGGCATATCGTCTGAGTTCTTCGATGAATTCTTTGCTCAAGATCACGCGACTCAAAGAACTCGAAGGACCGTGCGAACTATGGCTGTCGTGAGAAGAGGATCCGTGCGAGGAAGATCCATGGGAAGAAGATCCGTGCGACGATCCATTGGTTGTTTGCTGCTGCTGCTGTTGCTGTTGCTGCTGCTGCTGCAATTGATGAGTGGCACCATGCTGTTGTTGCTGCGATCCGGCAGTACCGACCGAATTTATGGACTGATGACTGCTAAGACTCGGCTGATGATTCGAGGAAACGGCATGAATCGATGTTTGAACCGTCGAATTGCCGAAAATACCCGACTGGGGATGCCTCGTGTGTATAGTGGATCTGCGACAATAGAAATCATTCAGTTGTTGAAGTTGTTGCTGTTGTTGTTGCGGCTGCGGTTTCTGTCGCGCTTTGCTTCTAGTCATCGCAGCGTTGACATTAGTCGACTGAAGGGTATTGCTCCTCGCAGTGGTCGCTACAGATGCGACGGCAGTAGCAGTCGTGGTGGTGGCCGTATTAATGGCCGTGGTGTTGTTAATCGTGCTAGCGATAGCCGTGGTGGTGGTGGTGGTAATCTTGCTACCGGAGGAAGCTGGCGTCCTTAAACCAGTGACGGAAGTCCGGGGTGGTGGAAAATAATCGTCGTTGATTTTTTCCGAGGGTGGCTTCGGCAATCTGCGCCGTAGCCAAGCGTGCCTGAGGGCCATTCTGGGCGTCATCCTGAGTTTTGGGTCCCACTCGAGGCAACCCCTTATAAAATCGATAAACATGAGATCTTCGCAGCCCTTCAATGCACGTTTCCATTCTCTCGAGCCAGGTGGCCCGCGGAGTTTTCCTCTCCTCGAAAGTCCACCACCGAAATGTTCCGTGCCGTCTGCCATCGTAGTTACCGCGCAGTACCTCGGATAACCTTTCGAACTGATGAAATTTCGACGGTGCTTCGCATTTTCTAGCAGATAACCTGGCGGCATACCTAGGAGTTCGATAATACAGGCCAATTGGTCGGCCTCGTCCTCGCCCGGCAACAGCGGGATCCCTGTGAACAGTTCTGCGAGAATGCAGCCTAGGCTCCACATGTCGATCGGCATGCCGTATCCAGCTCCAAGGATCACCTCCGGGGCCCGATAGAAGCGGCTTTGTATATACGTGTAGACCCGCCGGTTCTCGTAGCAACTCGAGCCGAAGTCTATCACCTGGACATACGAGTGGGCAGAAGTTATTAATAAAGTACACTCCCATAACGATCCTATCCCTATGCTTCGTTATCGGACGCTTGCTTGCTTGCTTGCTCCTATTAAATATACCATGTAAAAGACATGATCGTTATTTTCTTTACGTTAAATTTTACTCGCAGATAAGTATTTCACTCGTATTTATGCGATATCGCGATAAAATCTTCTCTATGGCTGGAATTCATTTATTTACGATTTATATTTCCCTTAAGTCCCTACGATTAACGTGTTTTTATACATTATGTGAAAAATATTTATAGAAAAAAAAAAGAAAACAAATACGAATTGAGTACATTGATCTAACACCGGTCGTTCGATAACGAAGTGTATATATTTTTTTTTAATTCCAATTTCTATTTTAATGATAATTCGTAAATTTGGAGACATAGGTTGAAATTTTCTCATTTAATGACCTAGTTTTCATATTTTAGGCAACGACGTTCTTCGAGAGCATAGTTAACGCTAAGCGTGCATTGGACATTATCCAGAATTATACTCGGTCGTCCTCTTTATTGGCCGACATCCCCTTTGCATTTATCACTCTAACAATAAGATATAATCCATTAGTATTAAGTATAGTTAGAAAAAAAAAAAACAAAAGAACAAGAATATTACGTCAACATAATTAACGATAAATAATTATTAATCGTAATAGGCAAGAAATCAATAACATATTTTTTGCAATATTCTTACTTTAAATGTATTTTAAGATAATACGATTGACCAGTCCATTGAACAAAGATCTTTGTTTAAATAACGAAAATATATACGCATGCATAAGACCGATGCGTCATCATCCCAAGTAACAAACCGCGATAAATGTAATTTGGAAAGAAGGATATCGTACACAGAGGAGATGATATTTTGATGGGGGTTGCATTTCCTTTGGGAAAACAGAAGGTGATTAAAAGTTTAACTCTTGTGCAAATCTACTTGTTCGTATAATAAGTTTTTTCTGTGACACAATTTTAACGATTAAATTCCCAATATCACTTTACACACTAGGTATAAATACCAGATACATATGTAGAATAACCGCAAAAGAATAATACTGAGAAACATTGTTCCATTCAGTATTAATTCCATGGAGATTTTCCAACTCTATTTACCGCATGAAAGCATTTCACCGTAACGTACCCTAATACTAATTGCGAATTCGAAACTTTATCCGGAGGAACACGCGATATAATAATGATTATTATTCGAATAACAAGATTCGATCGATAATCATAATCATTATTTTACTGTTGCCCCTGAGAATAGATTTCTCAAAAGATCATCGCATTATCCTTTTAACCGCACCGCCATCATTATGTGCGTGTTATATTAGTTGTTTTCCACAAAAGGGATTAAGGTTCATCCAACTGTAGACAATTTATCGTGCGTTCCATGAAAAAATATGAGATATAATATTATAAGGGAAAAGAAAAGAAAAGAAAAGAAAAGAAAAGAAAAAAAAAAAAAACAGAAAAAAAAGAAAGAAAGGGTTGGAATATGTTTATATTCCAACTTGCACAGTTTCCCTGCAAGTCACGCTACGAGAATAGAGATAAAAAGGTCATTCCCTTAATTGGAGCGGGTATTTTGCTTAGGAGGTAACAGGTGGTGGTTGGTTGGTACCTATACGCAGCCACTTGCTTTTCTTCTTCGAGCTAATGCCGAGGAGGTCAAAGAGACTTTGAATAATCTCGGTCTACGATACAAAAATGTTACTTCTACTATTTATAACCGGCAAATATACGTTTGCCATCAAACAAATTCAACAATTCTCCTTCGCGTATCTACGAATACTATTATTTCGTTTGTTATTCGTATAATGTTGGTTTTTTTAGTAAAATTTCAACACAATATTTGTTTTAACCCTAATATAAAATTCTATCGAGTTAATTTCTAATTTTTGTTGCAATTTCAAATTGTTTTTCTATCATTCGCATAGGTTTCTTTTTCCCTTCGACGATAAAAATGAAATATTATAAACGATTTTACGCGACACAAATAAAAAAAAAGAAAAAATTCATCGAGCCAAAAGTGATACATCGAAATCATCTGTCAATATGGAAAAATATTTACGACGAACGATCGTTTGCATGAAGCTCGTCGCTGCCTTTGACGCGTCGTGTCATTATATACCCGTATGCACGGATGCGTGTTATATATGGTATATACCGTACGATGGATCTCTTTCATTGATCGCGTTAAATACTCGATAAAGAACCTTGACCTTTTTCACAGATTTTATTTATCATCTTTTTTTTTCTTCCTCTTTTTTTACCTACACGCAAATTTAACATAAGAGATTGAGATACGCGTAAAGAAGATTTATATTATTATTATTATCTCTTAGTTGAAAATGTTCCTAAACAATTACCTTTTATCATTTCGAACAAAGGACTGCTACATTTTAGAATTATTGCGATTTAATTTCATTGTAAAAAAAAAAAGAAAAAAGAGAATAGTATAAAATATATCACGATAAGGAGAAAATAAATTACAAATGATTATACGTTCAAACGTTACCCTGATAAATGATTAATTTCGTAAGAAACATTTTGCGTGATATATTACTAGGTATACGATTTTAACACATAGAAGATCATAGATTTTAAACAATACGTACAAAACGTTTGATAAACTGCGTCATTTAATTCTGCGAAGAAACATGTAAATTGTTTGATATGTATGTATCTGTACGTATATGCGTGTTGTGCAATAACGAACAGTTGTATTAATACAGTATTATATTGTATACTTATACTGCATGCACACAAATCGATATTACACTTGGCCAATAATTTTGTCGACATTGTAATAGTTATTCCAAGGACAACAACGACGACGAATGATGTGTGTATATTGGTGTGTGTGTTTCTCGATGAATGCAGTAAAACTAATCGATGTCATCTTATTATCATCACTCTCGTTTCTATCGTTACAAAAATGTTTCACGATACTCTGGTAACTCTAGCATGTCCCCGTTGTGTTAGTTTCTCTCCCCTATTCATGATTTCGTTCGTTCCAGAAAGATAATAATCGTAAGGAACATTGAGTCATCGTCGTTGAAATGGAAGGATAGTTTGCTGGTCTATGAGTCGGTGCCATTGTCCCTAAGTGACCCCCTCATCCTACACCTTTCATCCGTTCCATAACGATCGATATAGTGCTTTTAGGAAGCTTCGTGGACACTACGTTAAACGTAGTGTCGTTTAAAAACGAATATATATAAGCGTACAATTTTTATTGTATATAACTATATAATAATTGTATGTATAATAGTAATAATAATCATCCTTTATAATAAATAATTTAATTAAACGCATACTAAAGGATGTATATCGTAATTTATTTAGGAATCATAATTTATCATATATTTATTTAAAAATGCCATAATTTAATTAAAAAGATTCGTGGACACTACGTTAAACGTAGTCTTAAAACGAATATATACGTACAATTTCTATTCGTATACAACTGATCCCAAACGATTTACTAAATAAAATTCAACGCAAACGGTTAAGATAAACAAAAATTTGCATATATCTAACATTTGTATAAAGAATATATAAATATACGATAGTAAGTATGAATAAAAATATAGCAAATACATTTGTATATAAATGCATATATGTGTATATACCAATGGTATAGGATACGTAGATATAGAAAATGTTCCTAGCAAATAGGCTATTACGAATTACACGAAGCTACGGTAAGTGTACACTTTACGAGCATACTGAAAGTTGCCTGTTCTAAAAGAGAGAGAGAGAGAGAGATGCATCAGAGCCGGGGGTCGGAAAGTCGACTCTCAAGGTCGACCGATGCATCTGACCGGAAATACTTCAGCTGCCTCCTTTCGTGAATACATACTTTCCCCCTTTTAACACTGAACATGAAACAACCATAGGTCGTTCGTTCCTTCCTACCTTCCTTCCTGCCCATGAGAAAAAATCAAACTAATTGTTTTTTTCACCTTTTCCCTTTTGTTTTTTTATATTTTAATTTCTCATCCGTTTTTGTTACTTATTTTCGTTACTAAACACTCATATCTTTTTCTTGTTTATAATAAGATGATTAATAATATGTGATGAGTAAGAACAACAAACCAGAGAGAAAATGAACATGAAGTAGCAATATTTAAAACAAAATTAAATAACGTTAAACAAAATGATAGAGAAATAGAATTAGAGAGTAAAGGAAATAAAAATGAATAATAATTGATTTTTGTTTGCTTTTAACTTTAGCTATATAATCTAGAGAGTCATATCTCTCCATCCAATGTTAATAATAATAATATTATGTTGGTATAAGTTTTGTATATATATAAAGTATAGTTTAATAAAAAGTATTTCATGATAAGTTTTCAAATACTTTTGCAAGTCACTGTATGTGTTAGGGTTGCGATAATGTAATATAAATCTTTTTCGACAAATTAATTCAAACATCGGTCTATTTCCATAGCACATGAGAAAAAAAAGAAAAACAAAAAAAAAAAAAGAAAGAAAAGATATAAAATTGAAATATTAATATTTAAGAGGGCGTAACGAAGTGACCACCACCAACCAACACACTTCTGTTCTTGACAAGCATAAAACCAATATTATAAAGATGCACGGATTTCCTCTGTCGACTCTGGCGTTCTCCTTTTTCCACCCCCTATCTTTTACCACACTTTTATATACACACACCTACTCACATCAGTCACGCTCTTACTCGTTTCAACCAGAGGCTTATTGCTCTCGTGTTTCCTTCGAACTTCCTCTTTCTTTCTTTCTTTCTTTCTTCCTTTAATCAAACGCCATCTTTTTTCCCCGTCAACTCACTCTCTCTCTCTTTCTCGGCAAACCCTGAGGCGAGATGTATTTAAAAAAAAAAAAAGAAAAAATAGTAGGGACGAAAAAGAAAAATGAAGGGGGAAAAAAAAATATTACGTGGCTCGCTCTTTGTGAGATAATTAGAACAAGCTA